CGCGACTTAGGATTACTGAGGACATGGCCCTTGACAGGGAATTATGGAGGTCGAGCATTAAGGTTATAGGTTAGGGGAAACTTGTGAATATTTCTACAACACAATAGAGTGAGACTAGCCAGTTAGAAGTTAGACTAAGAATGTAATTGGTCGTCTATTGATGCAGGGCTTTACCTGCTAGTTTTACTATATCAGCCATCTATTTCGTATTTCGTATTCTGTATTTCATATCTCTTATATTGTTGTTATTTTATTACGCATTTTTATGGTACTAATATATCGGCTCCTGTTGCTTTTTTGGAGCCGAGGGTCTCCTGGAAACAACCTCTCTACCCTTCGGGGTAGGGGTAAGGTCTGCGTACATATTACCCTCCCCAGACCCCACTTGTGGGATTATACTGGGTCGTTGTTGTTGTATATCTCTTATATTGTTGTTATTGTATTATGCTTTTTTATGGTACTAATATATCGGCTCCTGTTGCTTTTTTTGAGCCGAGGGTCTCCTGGAAACAGCCTCTCTACCCTTCGGGGTAGGGGTAAGGTCTGCGTACATATTACCCTCCCCAAACCCCACTTGTGGGATTATACTGGGTCGTTGTTGTTGTGTTGTTGTTGTCTTTTGATCTTCCAACCATACCCTTTGAATAAGCACCAAGTATCAGCATATTTTCTGAAGGGCAACTTAATTCAATTAATCAACCAACTACGCTTCAATCCAAGTTAGTTGGGATCATTTAGATGAATAAGAATATTTAATCTGATCTATTCATGTTTCAGTACTCAAGGGATTCCTCATAGTATGACGGTTTTTACCCTGGTCATCAACCTATCGAAACTTCTTTATCAAGGTTTGGCACCACCAGCTATACTTTGCGACTACAGAAGGCAGAGTTTACATGAAGAGCAACTTAATTTCTGATTAAATATAGATTAAACATTTTCATTTACAGCGTTGGGGTTTAAACTTTTTGTACAGATAAACCATGCAGAAAAGGGTAACTTGCTATCTTTCTCACAACAAATAGATTTAAATGCCACAAATATTAGCGTAGGGGGCTCATTGCCACAATAGAAATAGTTTTATATGGCACTTCTCCCCCTGAAGGGGCACAGCAATCTCCCAAAAAGTTTAGGGGATGCAAGACTAGACAGTCTTACAGGAACCGGTTAAATAGCAGAATTGTTTTTCAAGGTTATGCTGCATCCTAAGATTTCCTCATGACAGTAAATGTCTTTCTCCTTCCGATTTTCATCCTCATTTCCCCTTTTCACTTTCTCATTCAATTAATCAACCAACTATCCTTCAATCCAAGTTAGTTGGGATCGAGTAGATGAATAAGAATATTCAATCTGATCTATTCATGTTTCAGTACTCAAAGGATTCCTCATAGTACGACGGGTTTTTACCCTGGTCAACAACCTATCATAACTTCTTTATCAAGGATTGGCACCACCAGCTATACTTTGCGACTACAGAGGCAGAGTTTACATGAAGAGCAACTTAATTTTTGATTAAATATAGATTAAACATTTTCATTTACAGCGTTGGGGTTTAAACCTTTTGTACAGATAAACCATGCAGAAAAGGGTAACTTGCTATCTTTCTCACAACAAATAGATTTAAATGCCACAAATATTAGCGTAGGGGGCTCATTGCCACAATAGAAATAGTTTTATATGGCACTTCTCCCCCTGAAGGGACACAGCAATCTCCTGAAAAGTTTAGGGGATGCAAGAATAGACAGTCTTACAAGAAACAGTTAAATAGCAAAAATTCTTTGAAGGTTATGCTGCATCCTGAGATTTCCTCATGACAGTAAATGTCCTTCTCCTTCTGATTTTCATTCTCAATTCCCTTTTAGGCCCTAAGCTCTAGTACTAAGGCGGAAAAAGGGTACTAAGGCAAAAAGCTGATTACACATAATCTACTGTAGTATGACGATTAGGACTTCAGGAAGAAGGATCATCATAAAATTTACTGCTAACTTTGGACTCGTCAAGTTTAAAGGTTAAGACTTAAGACTGCACAAGTCTACTGTGCAATCCAAGTTGCTGTCTAAGAGAAAGAATTGGAAATCTTTTGCATAAAAGAAAACAGTAGATGATTTATCACATGGGTTTTGTTGCAAAATAAAATAAATTTACGTAGTAGATTTACCTTCTCTGTGAGATATTTAAAGGCCACCTTTTTTTGTCCAGCTTCATATATGTTGCACTGGGAATATATCTGACACGAGATATTTAAGTTATCAACAACAATAGCAAGGACAGATATTACTGAATTTACATAACCCTACTTTCCCAACCTTTAAAAAGAGAAGAGAGAGAGAGAGAGAGAGGAAAAAGCTGCTAAAAGCGGTACTACCTGTGATTCTACACTTGCGCAAACAGCATAAATTCCCCAGTTCCTGGTGTAGTTGTTGTACAAATGTACTTTGCCAAATCTAACACGAGGATGCCGCTGTCTAGTTCCATCAAAAAAGCAGTGGTGAATGGTGACCCGCATACATCTGTCGGTACAATTAGAAGGATCTGCTCCAATAAGCATGGTCTTATCATGCTTTGAAAAGTGACACCTGGTCGCAACAACAAAGTTCAAGATCCAAAAATAGATGCCATAACAAGATACTATATGATAAAGAAAGTTTGACTGACCTAGAAACAGTAATATCTGTGCTCTCCCTTGTGATGTCAATTAAACCATCGTCATAGTCACTAAGGCTACAACGATCTATCCAAATATGCCTCGACTTTGGTTTAATCTGAATGGCGTCAACATCGGGTCCTCTGCCTCCCTCAAACTCTATATTGCAGATGATCACATGTTCACATTCTTTCAACCTCAAACCTTTCCCTGTGATTTTGATTCTTTGGCCTCGCCCATCAATAGTTTTGTAAGACGACACACTCAAATAAGATCGGAGTTCAATCGTCCCTGAAACTTCAAAGACGATCCATAGAGGTTCTTTTTTACGACATCCATCTCGAAGTGATCCTGGCCCATCATCTACAATAATGTGCGATATATAAATCTTATATTATTATCAGCGGAAACGAACAATAAAAGATAGTCACACTACAATGAATCCACAACCAAGAGCTCCACCCCTGTTATCTTATTCTGTCTGAACTTATTACATTCCATTCCATTCCCTTAAAATACCTTAAACGGAATCCTAGCTCTCACCATACATAAGTTAAAATAATAACATAAGGGTAACAAACAAATGCAACATCAATGCTTCCTCTAATCCTAGTTGCCCCGGTAAATGCAACGCCGATGCTTCCTCTGACACTCGCCCCTTGTACCACCTCCCCTTCCCTGGGGAAGAGGAACGCCATTCCCTCATCACCACCCCCGCCATGCTATTAAATCATGTTACACCATCACGTCTCCCGCTATGCTCTATAAACTTGTCCAATTTTTCATTCTCAGAGCAACTTCAGTAGCATTCTTGAGAGATCCTCTGCCTAAACCATTTTCTTTGACATTTGTCTTAAATGTAACGCATTTTTGTGACAAGTGACGCTAATGATAGTTACAGGAGGTTGTAGAAGAGCAAGATGTGGGATGGAAACATGAAAGATAAGAAAGCCAAGATCAGGGAGGAGGTCGTAGCTGGCTTTTGGAAGAATCAGCATCCCGGTACACACCATACTAACAAAGGGAAAGCCAAAAGCTTTTGCCATATCCATTATCTTATTTTTCTAAAACTGGTATAAGAATGACAACCAAGAAACTCAAATGACTTTGATTGCACATGTGCAAGGATAGTGATGTTAGTAAACTGTGACAGGGTATCAAGTACAATGGTAATACTGCTAACTTTCCGATGGAGTGATCCCAACTTGCACTAATCTTCTTATTGGTTTTTCACCAATGCTTAATGATGATCGTGAGCCCAACAAACATTCAACCTATGGTACAACCTAAAATGCAGACAGTACCACAGATGTGAAAACTTATGAAGCAAAAGAAAAGGAAGGACCTTTTTGCATTCTGTCCAATAATAAGACATAAGCAATTGATGTTATATCAAAAAAACCTTAAATGAATTTTGTGACTGTGATAATATGACGATTAAAAGTGAAAAGGGGATGAGGTAAATCTAAAATGAGAAGTTGTCTCAAATGAATCTCTTGGTACATTGCAAAATTAACTACTCTTTCAAAAATCAACGCATATTTAGCTAAAGATAATACACAATAAAAGACAATGATCCATATAGACTATACCAACAAGTTCGGATTAAACAACTATTCAGGAGAAGTGTGAAATATAGAGTAACTTGATTTTCCCTAAAAGGAGAATGATTTAGCATTAGAATGAAGCTTACATGAACAGAGCAGAATGGATATAGAGCATTCAAATAGCCAATCACAACTAATTTAGGTCTAAGGCATAGTTGATCAACCAACTGCAGTTTTTATTAAGGCAGAACAGATATAAGAAATGGGAAGTCAATGCCGTGTCAACCAATTCAAAAGAATTCACATTTACCAGCGAAACAATTTTTTTTATATCCGTTATCGGGACCAGCTTACACGCACCTCGTCTAATTCCACGAGGTACCTACTACCTCCCACCAACATAGGTACCAGATAACACGATCCACCAATGCTCGGACAGACATGAAGAAATCACTTAGTTTTTTTTATCTAGGCCGGTAAAAAAGGTACCTGCTACCTCCCACCAACATAAGTACCGGATAACACTATCCACTAATGCTTGTCTTTATCTAGGCCGGTAGTTATACCCACAAAACTACTTAAGTACTTAGAACAACATCAATTCCAAAATCAAACACATTCCACTATATTTTCCATTAAGCAGGAAAAACTATGTCCTCCCAACAAAAGAAAAAGATGGGAGCCTTGGGTCAACTGTAAGTTGTCCCGTGTGACCTATAGGTCACGGGTTCGAGCCGTGGAAGCAGCCACAAATGCTTGCATTAGAGATTGTCTACATCACACACCAAAGAGGAGCGACCCTTCCCGGATGCCTTGCGCACCGGGCTGCTCTTTTACCATAGTAGCATAACTTATCACAACAAATAATTTTAACCCATAACTTATCATCAACCCAAACACAAGGAATAAGAAAAGCAAACTAACCATTGAGATTAATAACTTGATAAATATGACCATCACGACCACCAATGGAAGAACCGCCAAAGCCCTCAGCTTGACCAGCTAGAGCACGCAAGCTAGAGTCAACTTGACCATAAGGCAAAACCAAATCCATTTGAGTACTCACTGTGTTCTGGGATTGAGCTGTGGGTACTGGAGGCACAGGAAATGGGGGGCCTTGTTGATGGTGATGGTGGTGTTTGTAACGGGGATGGTGGTTCCCCATTTATGGAAGTCTTTGATTGTATTGTAGTAACTCTAGTATTGATTTCTTTGAAGCTTAACGCCAAAAATTGAAACTTGGCATTAAATTGTACTATCACTTCTTTGTTGTCTCCATCTATGACTCTTGAAACTGAAACCTGCCGACACTTTTTTCTCTTAAACAAACTCTTAGCTTAGAATCCGCCCCGACCATTCTAAGTAAAAAGTTAAACTGACGTTTTATACTACTAAAATATGAGGTAAATAAATAAATAGTTAAATGGTGTATTCTATTTTAAAGATTGTTTACCCTATTTGTAAGTTGTTTTAATGATATACAGATTAATTCGATACAAAACGATAAATTAAGTCAATATTGAACAAACAAAGATAGAATAAATTCAAACCATACGAGTAAGGTAGTTCCAGCCTTAGTGAAATAGTCACCCTTGATCCGGGCTTACCACGACCAGCAATAAAGAACAAGAGAAAGAGCTAATAACAGATAAAATAATAATATATTGCTTTAGAGTGCGTGGTACAATGTACTTCATGAATTAACTGACGCCATTTATATAGTAGGGGAATCTTACTTTAGGTACAACTCTATAAAAAGTAGAAAATCTTCTCATTAACTGATTGTCGGTTCCTTATCGATACGTGACGATATCCCCGTCGTGATATCCGGACGATCAAGGATATTTCGGCCTTCTATTGGCTATGCCTGATTGTCCGATAATGTTCATTAAAGTCGATCGAGGCTAGGACAGATTCTGGAGCCATGACCTCGATATTCTCGGGGGCAGGCGTCATGCCCCCGGATTCTGGCTCGATGGGACTTTGCGTCGATAGTCCCCGTGTTTCTCGGAAAGTAAATGACGAGAAACGACATGAGCTTCCGATTCCTACTTCGACACATCGCGGGAGAAACGACAAAAACCCGAAACGTCTCGTCAATTACGTCATAATGGCATTAAATGCATGTCGGCCACCGGTTGGTTGTCCCTAGACGTGAAGCATCGCTTAACTACTATAAATACCCCCTCCTTTGTCCATTTTCACTTTACATCAAACCTTCTACCCTCGTACCTTTAGAATTTCAATACTCAAGGTCCTTTGCAGAAATTTTTTCCCATCTTCTTCTCAAGCCAACAAGTTTAATCCTTCAATTTCCTTTCCTTCTTCATCTTTTCCAGATTTTTCTCCATTTTTACTTTCTAAAAGAATGGCAAAGACTTCCAAAACTGTTCCCCAGAAAGAAGCTCCTTCTACTTCGCGGCCAGCCACTAAGGTCGAGGAGACCGCTCCGGATATGGCTGTTGATGAACTAGCACTCGAACCCCCTTGAAAATGTTCATCCCCTGGGGATGCTCGGTCAACGATGATTTAAAGGTTGAAAAGCCTTCCTCCGTACAAGGTCATTGTGAGGAGGTCTCGAGATACATCTGCTCGATTACCTAAGAGGTCCTCCCTACAATCCACAAAGACTGCAACTGGGCCGATGAAAATATAGTGGTCCCCGACCCCGAGGAGGCTATTACCACCCATGTCGAGGGATATCTGAGTGTTTACGCTTATCTCATTACATTGGGATCAGTGGACCCGGTCAGCATAAACTTCTGTAAGAGATACAAGGTATGCCTCGGTCAGATTCATCCTTCAATGTGGAGGATTGTGATCCTCTTTCGATTTTTCGTGAGCAAAATTGACTCCTGCTGGTTCATCGTGGATCACATGCTTCGTTTATACAGTCCTCAACTATTCCGGGAGGGGCTGATAAAGCTCGTGTGTCGTGCCAGTAAAACCCCATTCTCAAGTATCGACGAAGATCGGGATCGAGGCTGGCAAGGCTGTTTTGTCCGAATGAGGACTTCGGACTTGATTCCGGCTGAATTGGGGTTATTCCCTGAGAAGTGGAATATGTCACGTAAGTAGATCTTTCCTTAGAATGTTTAATTTTATGTTTACTTTTTTTTCCCTCACTGATACTCGTGGTGGTGCAGCCATCGCTCGGGTCCCAAATGTTGTCCCTGTTGTGCCCCTTTTTAAAAGAGGAGAGTCACCACCTAACGATTTTCAAGGTGCGGTAGGGCACCTATTTGCAAATGACTCTGGTTTAACTAGTCCGCATTGCCAAAGATAGGGTAAAGGCTCAAATTACCTCAAGGAAAAGGTGTTAGGCACTCATCGAGGTCCACAACTGTCGGTCCTAGCCAAACTTAAATTATATGGATTAGTCTATATTATCAAATAAACGAAGAGAGAGAGCACAACATTTAAGAATTTTATTATAAAAGGTCTTGAACAGAGGGGTACAACTATTTTTGATTCTAGTAGAAAAAGAAAGAAAATGGGGGGAGGGGTACTAAGTTTTTTAGCCTAAAGGATTACCCCGTACAATATAAATAATATTTCGTAACTCCCTCGATATGGGGTGTTACTCATATTATTCAGCGGGTACAGACTATCATCTCCTGCTACACGATTACTATGTTAAAGTTATTTACCTAAGAGCGCTCTAATTCAATTCTAAATTGTGCACTACCCATCCCATACCTATTGGTCCACGAGGTTTTGGACCTCTATTTGGAGACCTTATNACCTCGAGATGGAGTGTTACTCATATTATTCAGCGGGCACAGACTATCATCTCATACTACCCGATTACTATGTTAAAGTTGTTTACCTAAGAGCGCTCTAATTCAATTCTAAATCGTGCCCTACGCATGCACTACCCGTCCCATACCTATGGTCCAGGAGGCTTTGGGCCTCTATTTGGATGGTTCTAGACCTTATCTAGGTTTCTCAAAAATGCAAAAGCTATGCGACAACCAAAACACCCAAAGACTTCACATAGATGCAATTAAAGGCTCACATTGACCTCCACACTATAGCAACAAGTGCACGCAAACACATATATCTTTAGGAATTGGCAGAATCTAGAATTTTAAACCTATGGACATGCTTTCTAGGCGATCAAAGTATGCAGGTAAATTCCAGATGCAGGATATTGCTTGTGAGCACGTGATTTTTGCTTCACGGAAATTACTCCAAAAGAAATTGAAAAAAAAAAAGAAAGGTTGCCTTTGGGTACAATTTTGAGAATTTACGTGACATTTTGGTAATTGTTTTGTCCGTAAATGTTTACCTTGTCGTAGTTAATTCAAAAAATACAAAAATACAGGTTGCATGCATATTTAGGATATAATTGTGCATTTAGGAATTAACTAAACCATAATTTAGTTTTCAAGGGGAAAACCACAAAAATATGCATTTTATTCTATCTGTCGTCATTGTGTGATTTTATTTTAACTAAACGTTTTAATTTGTGTGTTAATTTTGTTGAATGTTAATTAATATTTGTGTAGTTTAATTTTGGCTTTAATTTAATTAGGAATTTTTGTTTAAATTAAAAGAATGAAAAGGGAGGAAAATATCGAATTTGGGCCAAAAATTCGATTAAAAATCAGGCCCAATCTATTACACTGACCCAGTCCACGACCTGGGTTTCCAAACGACGTCGTTTAGGTGTATTTGATCTGAGTCGTTCATCTCACTTAATCTAACGGCTCCAGGCTTTCCTAAATACCCGACCCACTGGTACCCGGATTGACCCATTCCCAACACTAAACCAAACGACGTCGTCCCCTTAAGTGAAAAGATCAAGGCCGTTGATCATCAATGATCCAACGGCCGAAATTCAACTCCCCCGTCCCGTATATAAACCCTCCTCTCTTACCTCCCGCCCCAGTAACCAAACACCCCCCTGCACCCCTTCGTCTCTATCAACTCGGAGACGAAAACCTTAGCAAAACCTAGCCACCGTTGAATCCCTAATCCTGAAACCCGGCGGCAACGATGCCGGTGACCACCAAATTAACACCCCTAGTGCACATCGACCCCCTGGACACGAATTTGCAAACCGTTTGGTTCGAATCAGCCTACATCGTCTCGAATCTTCATCTGAAGATTCGAGTTAAACCTCAACTTATACTAACCGATCCCAAATGCACACCAGTTACTCCTCTGACCTCCCTCGTGACCAAACCAAGCCTGGTTTGGTTCGAATCGAACCAGAAAAGCTCGAACCCCTAATCTGAGCCCCAAGAACCCTAAAAATCCAAAAACCAGGAATTTGTCCAAATTAGCAGAGGTTTAAGGGTCTAATAGACCTTAGTCGAAGTGTTCTCCGTTGAGAACACTTGATTAAGGTCCATTCGACCTCAAAAAGGTCGAGTCTGAGTTCGGACATGTTTCACCTAGTTACTTGAGGTATTCTTTTTCCCTTTCCGTTTGATCTATTTTTATTTGTTTGTTTTGTTGTTTGTTTGTTGTTTAGAATGATTTTATTTCCAACTTATTTTTCTTCTCCAAATCAGACCTTTTATTTGGTCGAAATTTTCGTCTGTTCATGGATAAGTGTATGTGTTTAAACTATATAATCGATTGGAATGAGTTTGATCGATTAATTAGTTTCCAGGGTAATTCTTTGTTTTGTCAGTACAACTTGAATCACCTATGTGTACTATTCGATTCTGATTATTAGCTGTTGACTTATATGTTGTAATTCGTATAGTCGATTGGATAAATGTCGTCAATTAGTTTTAACAGGTCGGGATGTTAGAAACCCGCAAATTGTTCAGTTTTAATGGTCTGTCAGTTTAATACTAATATAAGCTAAAGAATAAAATAGGGATCAATAGTGGGATTGATAATATGTTAAGTGCCTTTAGTGGCTGGAAATCAGAAAGAGCATGGGGTTTAATTTTAAATAGAAATGGCCAGTTTGAAAGACTGACAGATTTTTGAATTAACTAGTGAAAAAGGGTACTACTTGAGTTGGCTTAGTGACTTTACTAGTGGGAAATCAGGAACAGCATGGGTTCAATGATAAAAAGGTAGAAATTCACATGAGGAGGGAATAAAAACAGGCTAAAAGTGAAATGTTTGAATAAAAAAGAATGGCCAGCTCTAGTCTTTAAATAGACTGGATTTCGGACAAGAAGAGGGGGTTGTTTTTTAGAACCTAAGGGAGTCTATCTTGGAACTAGAAGAGAGAGCTCATTTCTTGACTTCAATCCTAGATAGACAATAAACAAAAAGAAACCTCTGAAAAAACTCTAAAATTCCAGAAAAGGCATAGTTTCATGTTTAAATTCATAGTTAGTTTGAGATTTAGGCCCAATCCAAGCTACCC